GTAGCACTACTTTTTTATGTGCTGCAGAACAGGAACCTGCTGTAAAACAGCAATTATGATGAGTCAGGCTTGATTTTTAATAATCTTTTCCTGTTAAAAAAAAGAAGGGAGAAGGCACAGCAAAGCCTATCAGAACTCCTGAAACCCTAAGTAAGTCTTACCACATTAGTCACTTTTAGCATGCCAAGTTCATTTCAATAAATCAAAATCATCCATACTTTAATTATATCTCCCTTATTCAAAGTCGTGTCACAAGGGCATGTGATGTGTGAAAGTGTTGAATGAGAAACTTTTACTCACAATGTTAAACAAAAATTACAAAAATAAGTGACACTTTACTGTTTCTACTATGCAAAGACTGTGTACATTTTAATGTTGTTGATGTTTTCCAGACTGCGCTGTGGATTCATCTCCAGTTGTCCCAGACAACGCCAGCATCTCCACACCAACTCCTGATGCACGCATCTTCACTTCACGTCCTGAAGCACGCGTCTTCACTACATGTCCTGATGCTACATCTTCACACCACCCTCTGCACCACATCTGAACTCAGTCCACACCCAGTGGGAGGACCCTTCACAACAGGATCACACATACTTCCACACATCTCGCAGAAAGGACGTGCAGAACAAGATGACTCAGTGTGATGAGGTTGCATATTTGTGACCAATCACATCAAAATGAGGATTAAGTCGAATTTGGTCAAAATTACCTAATTACATTTTCAGATTCTTGGCTTTAAAAGCTACATTTTGATACCTGGATCATTCTGATATCATAATTAAATCTATATACTTTATATGACTTAATTTGTCTTGTTGGTTACAATAATACATAAATATTTGGTCTGAATCCTAATTTGATGTCATTTTAATGAGGAATTTTTGACGTCCTTTTAAGGAGGAAACCTCAAATTTTATTTGAATATTGAGATTTCCCAGCTAAAAAAAACAACACTTTGCTAGCTCACAGGGAAAATCTTAAAAATATAAGGCGTTTTCCCTCAAAATCAGTTTTTTTTTGTTGCTACTGTTCAAAATAGTGCTTCAAAATTTTGTTTTATGATTATTTTTCAGACAGTTCATTCAACCAATAAATTGATAAGGCTTTTATTCATTATATTTTGACAAAATGCAATTTTTGTTAACATTTTAGTCAAAACACTATATTTGCCTATTTCTCCATTTATCACTTTTGGACTTAATCCTCGTTTCGATGTGATGGGTCACATTTCATTCCACAATAAAATTTAGTTTTTTTTTACTGTGTTCTGTGTATTTTTAAACTTCAATTTTTGTCGTAAAAACATTTCACTGCAAGTTGAACTTTGTGTATGAGATAAATTTATTTGATTTGATTGCTCCCATTTTTTATCTTCTGTTGCTAACATATTTAATGAAGGCAATGCATTCCACATACAGAAAAAGCTATTGAACATATATAATTTTGCATTTTAGGTAAAAATGTTTTTATCAAAACCATGAATAGAATTTGACACTTTTTATTGTTTATCAAAGGAGTAATAAAGTACATAAATTCTTACATTCAATGTTGTCAGTACATCATCATGTCACTTTCCAATTAGTGTTTTCTGGAGAAGGAAAAGTGGCTGAATTTGTGCTTTGCTAACACCATCTCTGAAGTCTTTGTGTGAAAGATGATGAGGTGTGTTTGGGAGTCATTAAAGCCCTGGAGTTAGAGTTGAAATGATGCTCTGCCTTGTGGCGTTTGAAATTTATCTGGCTTAGACG